AGAATTTCTTAAGGGTCTCAACGGTGTGAACTGATGCAAACACCTATAACAGAGGTCATACATTGGCAACAGTGTTAAACTGGAATACCACTCATATTCCATACACAGTTGTAAAGCAATAAATTTCGTTACTTATGGGCTTGACATCTTACAATATGTCCCTTGGGCTGGTGAGCATTGGGTCGCAGAGTCATGTGCCTTCTTATCTGATCATGTCTACAGCCTTCTCAGCCATGCGTGTATATGCAATGTCTGGGGAACACAAGCTCTTGACATTCACTGTTTTATTGCTTTCTGTTCCACCACTTGTGGTGAATCTGGTTGGTGTAATACAGTCCAATATGATTGGTTCGTGGTGCTGATGGTATATAGGTGCAAATACATTGGCTCTTGGTGTCCGTATTGTCCGGGCCCGTCATCTATGGGTGTGCGTTGGGCACAGAGCTGTTGCTTGATACCAGGATCAAGTAAGCCAATGATACAAACTCAACATACTAAGTGTACTTTTCACCTACTAACCCACCATCAGATGTTCGTCTCAAGTGTGCTATATATATAAACTACTGACAATCATTCTAGTGGCAGCAGTTTCGAGATCATCTTTGATTTGTGCCGATGCAATTGTGATCACTACAACCTGGATATCCACCCTCAAGATAATCAAGCTACGACAATTATTGGAAAACAAGCCCTCATTCTACAAGATACTCTTTGTGAACGGTGAGTGAGTGGTAGCAAAAATGCAGGGACAAAACTATTGACCACTCGGATACAGGGACCATATACTTTGTGTATGTTTTCGGAAAGTGGAACTTGAAGTAGTATACTCTGTAACTGATGCTGAAGTTTACAGTGTTCTTCTTCTATTGAATCTCGTGGACATCATCTTCTATCTCTTGTCTGTGAGTTATTGAACTATCATGATTCATATCCAAGGAGGTGTTATTCACATGATGTCTCTTCCAGTTGATAATAGACAGCCCGGCCATTGGCGTTGTGAGCTATATTGTTGTATTCATTGAGCCGTAGGTATATCAACACTGTCTGCTGACTTCTGATATTCATTATTTCTATAGCTTGACATCTATACTCGTCTCACATTTCCTTCTGGACCTTCAAGCAGTCAAACGAAAACTAGAGCATCAAGATTCAGTCAACTCTGTCGTGTCCTCCATTTCTTGGAACCGGGCCATTGGATCCATTGCTCTTCCGCTAGAAGTAGAGGATATTATGGGAGCTGAAGCCATACAGAATGCACATGCTAGTCCGGAGGAAACGGAAGGGAACCCCGATCAGGAGGATGATGCTGTCATTGCTAGCCACGGTGAATAAGCAGCATGGATATACAATGGATTGTGTGCCGCTATCGTGGTGAGTACAAGCATTTGAAGAGATGTTCCAGTTATTGACTTACTAGTAACTACCAGCGGTCTCTCATCAACTGCCCCTTTCGCTATGTCGCCAAGGATGTTTCTTGTGTACCCTTCATAAAATATAGTATTCCGACTCTGTTGTAGCCTCCGTATATTTAACCACACGTACCCTTCAGCGGACTGAACTATAGGCTGTTGGAAGACTCTTGATGTCTGTCAGAACAAAGCAACCCATTGAACCTATGCGTCGATAGGGAGTTGTATCCGGCGGCGCTCGCGCTGTCGGAACGGTTTGAGGCCGGCACTTGTGTTGCATCGTCGCCAGAAGTGGATCAACGGACTTGGCATGAGCATAGCTGACTCTTACAGGTATAGCAGAGCGCAGGGAGTCCATAGCACTTGTCGCTAGTCAGGTATGTGGAAGAGCCTGGTGCGAATCGTCGGATGCGGGTAGAACTAGTCACCGGGTGTCGACAGAAAGCGGCGAACGCGCGACGTCACTTACACGTTCCACGGTTTGACTTGACGCGAGCTTGAACACCCACCTATCTTATTGACCCTGCTCAACTGATACATGTTGATACAGAGCTATGTGATAGTGGGGGAACACCCGGTTGACCTTCTGGATATGTGCCATGCTCCACTTGCGCTCTACGAACAGCGTGCCGGGAAGGCATTCACGGAACTTAGGATGCACCAAGAACTTATACAGTGTCGTCGCATACTATATGATACAATAGATCATCTGTGAAAATACTCGATACAACTCGTCATCTGCACACGAACGGAGCTCTGCGCAGATCTCGGACAGACTCGGAAAACTCTCAGACTCAGCAGATATCATAATCATGCCCGTCCTCGCGATCGGGCACCCACACCCACTGCGCGCCCCTGGGGCGAAAGCGCTCATAGCGCGCGTAGAAGATGCCGTCGTCGTCCGGGTCGAACTGGAAGTTGAGCCACTCGCCTATGCACACCCCGTCCTCGTACACGCGCGACGTCCACGAGCCGAGCGGGCGCGGCTTCGCTCTCGCCTGTGCGCGCGCGTCCCCGATCGCCGCGCCCGAGACGGGGCAGGGGCGGAGGCGCGGGAGGTAGGTGACGCGGAAGACGAGGGCTTTGCGCGTCTTGCCTTTCGCTTTCATGCGCTCTTCGAGCTTCTGGGTGCTGTGCGAGAGAGAGAGATGGGCGTAGGACGTCAGCGGTAGGTATCGGCGCATGCAGCAGAGAGACAGGACGCGTACTCGGCTTGGAAGAGCTCCCAGCCGCGCCGGAGGAACTCGACCTCCTGCGTCTTCATGCTGATGTCAGGGTCGAGGCCCGCGAGGAACGCGAACTTGCGCGAGACGAGCGTGTGGAGGTTCCCGAGGCTGTATGACTTGCCCGGGCTCAGCGGACTGTGCTCATTCTCGAAGATGATGTGCGGGAGGGTGTCGATCTCGTAGTCTTTGAGCCGGAAGTACGACATGGCTGTGTGGGGAGCGCGCTGGCCGTCAGCCGATCATACGCTCAAAGACTCCGACGCAGGGTGCGAGGGAGAACAGGGAGGGCAGGGAGGGCAGGGCAGGAAGACGGGATACTCACCATCAGACCGGTGCACCTCCTTGCTACCGACCTTCTGCCTGTACTCCGGATCGTCCTTCTTCTCCCACCGGCGCGCTTCGCACCACTTCTTCCACTTCTCCTCCCGGTCCTTCCTCAAGCGCAGTTTATGACTTTCGTGATGCCCCATGCCGTGCCCGGACACCTTCGCGTGACTGTGCGCTCGCTGAGAGGTCGACGAGCTCGGGTCGCAGGGCGAGTCGGGGACAGGGGTGGGGGCGTCGGATGAGGAGGGCGAGCTCGAGCTGGTTGCCGAAGAGTCTGCGGCGTCCGGGTATCGCGGCCGCTTCCAGATAACAGAGTGTATTTGCGAGTCGAGTGTCGGGCGCGACGATGTCGCTGTTGCGGCAGTGTTGTTGTCGTCGAACGAGTCCGAGGCACGTCGGCGCTTGCTGGCGCGCGAGTGGACCATGGGGGCATAGCGATGAGCAGCATGGAAGAAAGTGGGATATGTGAGACTACGGTCGCCCCGGCCGCCTGGCCACCTATTTGTACTGCACGAATTGGAGGAGAACGTGTGGACGGGGTCTCGGCCGTAGGGGGGCGACAGGCGTTCATTTGAGACGAAGACGGACGGCGCGGCCTAGACTCGAGCTCGAGCTCGGTCTGCCGCTCATGCTTTACAGAGGGATCGCCCCCGGAGCCTGGGCGTACCGCAGCGGGACGAATACAACCACATACGTCACTATTCTCGTCCAGCCGCCGGTTGACATCCTCGTCCTCGCGGCCATGTGTTCAATACGCGCCCTATAGGGGTCCTCGACGGGACGATCGAATTGACGCCTGCTGCTGTCCGTACTGTACCGCAACTTCTGAGCTTGTTCTAAAGCCATAGCGCACTGAAAGTACTCACAGTGAGACAATGCTAGCGTTCGTCGGGGAACGGAGGTCTCCCGGGACGCCCGTGCCTGGCCAGCAAGGGAGAGGAGAGGAGGCACGTCGTCGTGGTGAACAATCTAGGCCTTGCTGGACCAGCCCGAGCTTCTTCGTGTACACTGCGACACCAAGGGTCCAAGATCGAGAGGGCACGTACCAGCGTTACTCGCCGAATCGACCGGGTTCGCGGCTCAACAGCCCGCAGACATACAGCAGAGACCCAGAAGGATTTTGACGGTAACGTGTCGGCCGTGCGGACTCTAGATCGACTTTACCTTCCGGCGCAGCGAGTGACGTGCAGAAGGTGAGGTGAATGACCACCAGGTAGAGCAGACACAACGAAGAAACTTGGGCGTGAGATTCCGAAGGGTACGGTATCCAACCGGCAAGCAGCCTGAGTACCGGGATGCATGTGGATGCGTGCGTCATGTGCTTTCGATGATAACGTTACGCGCAGACAACCCAGACGACACGGCGTGAAGAGAGGGCACGACACGTTGCGCAGGTGTGCCAGCAAGCAGCCGACACGGGCAGGGAGGCAAGGATGGGCCGCCCGAGTCACGATAAAATTGCAGAGGTGGACTCACTTCAACATGAGGACCGTAGGCTGCCAAATAGAGATGCGAGAGCAAGGCCTAGGACTTGGGCTCTGCGCAGGAGCTAGGTAGAGTGCCGTAAGCGCGGCAGACTGGGCTCGCTTGCCAGCCTCTCGTTTTGCGTATGGCAGAGTAGACATATCGGTACTCTCGAGCTGTTCGTCCAGGACACGCAAACGTGTTCTGTAGTGCGTTAAAACGTAATACGTGGCCTTAAGCACTATCGAATGACACCAATCAAGGGTAAGTAGGGGATCTCACCGTGCCATGATACATGGTTGGCGCACCTGCTCGGTCTCGAGTACTCCAGATGCCTCAGCCTTCCCTATCCTCCTCAGACTCTCATTCCGAAACGACCCATATGATAGATACTGACGCAGTGAGTTGATGGCTTGTAGGTAGATGTTTGCACCGGTAGCGACCAAAGAAGTCGCGACTAGAGTTTGTCGTCGAGGTGCCCAACAGTAAGAATCGCGCGTAGATGATATAATAGTTCGGCGATTGCATGCATAGGCCGCGGCGTCAAAGAACGGCAGCCAGCCAGATAAAAAAGCGTCACCTGAGCGATTCGAACACTCGCGGGCAAAGCCCAATGCCTATAGCTGCAATAGCAGGGCATCCCGTTAACCACTCCGGCAAAGTGACTTATCTTAACTATTAGTAACATATACCCCTGATTCGGGCACTTCCTCCTCATAGGCGCCGTCCTTCTACGCTCTCTTCCAATCTCTCATCATACTTACCCATCCTCCGAACGCGTCTCGTATGCGTGTGTGTAGCTCGTCACCCTGAACGCGTGCAGCTTTATGGGACGGCTCTCGCCCGACTGTTTTGCGCACATGGCCGCGGTCGAGAACACTGCTCGTCCCGGCGACGCCGTTCTTCTGCTGTGCGGTGATCGTATTTTGTTCACAGTAAGTACGCTACCTGGATATCACGCTCCTCGCGCCGAACTGTCTGACGGCGGCCCCTCGAAGATCGGGTGCATGTCTGTGCACATGGACGTCTGGCTTCGCTGTTGACAACAGCGCTGAATTCGTGTGTAGTGCGTGCTCGCATACGCGGGCGTCGCGTTCTTTTCTGCGGCTCGTAAGTACCCATCGTAACGGCGGCAAGCACCAGTCCCCGACTCCATTATTATCGAAACATTAGTCGATTTTTTCATCACAGTTGTCAGCTAAAGTCTCAAGATCACAGTGATCCGAAAGGATGTGTAGAAGAGATCAAATATCCATATTCAGGCTTGGCCTGCACTCTAGTGCGGCGCGCATCAGGCAGGCGCAAGGCCTGCCTTCAACGCGCCGAAGTGAACAAGCGTACACTATCAGATTTGCTGACGGCATGCAGTGGCGGTGTTGGCTCCAGGCTTGTTGTTGTGTACATATTGCGCTTATACAGCTCAGATCGTCGGTTGAAATGGCGGCGCGCATCGGTTGGGCACAAGGCCCGCCCTCAACGCGCCGACGTGATGCAGTCGCAATAGGTCCCAATTGCCATCCTCCCCGAGGTTGTCAAACATGGCCCAGTGTCCTCTCTCGACCTGGCCTGCGACCACACCAGCCCACCTTCCTTCTCCCCCATCTAGCTGAGCTCCTCCTATCCATCTCCCAGGATGCCTTGCCGTGTCTGGCTCACCGATTCGAGTCAAAATGTCGCCAAGCTCTGAGTCGTTCAAGTCGCCGCAGCCTGACACACAGTGGCAGTGCGCCAGTATTGTTTGCACCTGTTGTGAGAGTGGCGTCTAGAGCTTGGTCTTATTTGGCTACTTTCCCACGTGCAACGGTTTGCAGAGGGAACCCGACTGTATATGCATGGAGAAAACCCTCCTCCTATTCGGAGTCGGGGATCTTTGTGTCGCTTCGCCCTTCACCGCGGCACCTGTTGAGCCGAATGGGATGTTGCAGGCGTCGGGAGTCTCGTCCGCGCCCCAGCCCTGCTTGGTGAGGTCATAACTGGTGGATGCCGTCGTCGTTCGCAGGGGTAAGATGCATAGAACCAACTGGCGCTCTGTCTGATCAACATGCATCGTCACGCGTCATCTTCGGTGTCGGGTGGGCATGCTATGTATCAGCTATATGTGTGACCCCCGTCGTTTTGCGGCGGCATCACCTGGAGCACGCGAGGCGAGAGCAGCCGTTCGACACTGCTAAGGCTTAAGTGACGAGGTCGACTTTGGGAAGGTCTAGTTCGGACGAGTCCGTGAGTGCAAAGACGTGCTTACGACTGCAAGGCGAGCGAATGGGGATGGAGACTTTACCATTGCCCTGCCGAGCTTTCTTGCGAAGCAGGAGATGGGCGTGAAGATATGCCCAAGCTTGCGTCCCTCGCAAACCGCGAGTCTCGCGACGGAGAATCCGACGTTGGTTATCTGTGCGAAGTGACAGGAGAGGAGCGAGTTGATCTGACGCATGTCCAGGACAAGAAAATGGCGGATAATGATATTCGAGGAAGATAGCTGTAGTAGTCGTCGTGCACCGGGAGAGGTCATGAGCACCAGTGAGCAGAGCAGGAGCTGGTGAGAGAAAAGTGGGCCGGTGAGATGCTAGTAGAAGGCGCCGAGCCTGCAGTGCGCCGATCGAGTTCGAGCTCCCCGAGACTCCAAGTCTGTAACCGCGCCGGGATGAATGGCGAAGTTCGCTGTTGCTCGACGCTAGCGCATAGGCTGTATACATACAGTGGGGAAGGTTGGACGTCGACGGTCGTGTGCTTGTCGGGTCTCAGGGTCGCACGGATAGGGATATATTCGCTCGCCCGCGGTGCGAAGTTCAAGTGGTGGCGCCTGATTGTGAATTTGAATATGGGATCGGGAGACCGTCGGCCTTTGCTGCGACAACATGCCTGTACGAACCTCGAGGGTGAGTCTGCTAGCTGGACTGCGAGGCACGCTCAGCGCAAGAGCATCGTGATGCTCACCTTCGTTTTAAAGCTTCAGGCTCTATATACGAGGAGAACAAGGCCGTGTCCCGGCGCGCGCTCAATCGCAAGTCAAGTCATCCTTCTGAGATTCTAGATCAGGGACGCAGGGCCCGGGCGCGCAGCTGCATACATATGTACATATGTACATAGCTTGATAAGGTGGCTCGGATAGCGCGGGCGACGAGCGTCATAAACACCGTGTGAGCACGGTCGTCCTTCCCTGTAATCAATCATGATGCCAAAGATACATCAGATCATCGCAGTCCGGCATTCAGAATAGAGATTCGGACACTCACCGTGGTCGATGTGCTGGCAGCTGTGGTATTAGTCGTCCGTGTATCCTTGGTGTATCGTACCGGCCTGGAGACGAGTTGCGGCTGCGAGTGGAGTATGAGACTCGTTAGACATGGTGTATGGAGGCGGCCGATGGGCCACGAGGCTATGTAACAGCCAGGGTTCGAGCCTCGAATAGTACTTGGGATGGACGCTGCTATACTTGGCACGCTGTGATGTGTGTCCCCAATTAGACTTCCCATCCACCGAGGCATGATAGGTGTCGGCCGAGTCGGCGATGTCGGTCCTAGAAGCAGATAAATGTATCAGTAGCTACAAGCCGTTGATGGTGGAGGCAGACGCGCTCCCAGAAGAAGTTTGTCATCGCCAGGGAAGTCGAGGGTCCGCCGCTCGACGTTCGACGTTCGACGCTGGGGTGGCACTCGCCGTCGAGGATACGAATGTAGATGGGTGGTACGCGATAGTGCTGTCGGGTGCTACGAAACGAGCAGATCGCGCAGAGAGAAAGTGGATGCGGTGCGTGAGGATGAGAGGATTCAGTGTTCGCTGTTGTCATGGCCGGGCGAGGTGCCTGAATATCCCTGTACACGAGCACCGCGCAGGAAGGTGCGGAGCATGGGACCGAAGTCTGTCCTTACCAGGTTCATGAAGCGCGTCGGGCATGTCTTGAGTATGTCTTGGGATTGCGAGATGTCTTCGACGGTGAATCAGTGCACGAGAATTACTATGCGTACGAGGATCTTCTGCGGTACGAGATCAAGCCTAGACGTGCCGCCTGATTCCATTGAATGCCTACTCGGTCTGGAAGCTGGTACTGTAACTGACGATATTATAATCAATCGCATACACAGAAGGTGACTCAAGTTGGCTACTTACAGTTCATCCAATCTATCAGCTGCACGTTGGACAATGATAGTGTGTATGTAAGCGTACCAGTAGAGTCAATCTGGGCGCTGCGACGAACGCAAGTAGAATGGATCGAAGATATGATGAAATGATCATCTCGACATCTGATCATACTTCTAGACCCTATGGCGACAGAGAGACAAGATGAGCTTCGCAGAGTGCAACACGCAGAAGGAAGGCGTCAACGAGTGGCAGTGGCGCGAGATGAGAGAAAGAAGTGAGCGATGAGTCGATACTCCGGGTCTGATTGGAGGCTTCCGTTCACCTTTGGCGAGTTCACTGCTACTTCCGCGCAGGTCGGAGCTTAGGTTATGCCCGATTCGGGCACGGAGAACGAGCTGAAGACAGAACGAGGGCGTACGCACATGCCTGGTTCGCCTCAAGGCTTCAGGGAGCTGCTCCCGGAGCTCGTACGTGCGCTGAACGAGTCCGAGGCCGGCCGGGATCATAGGAGGAGCAGCCGGACCGCTGAAGAGAACAGCTGGAGACTGGGCGTGACGCGCACATTCCGGAGGACGAGGTGCCGGGACAGAGGTGGGAGTAGAAGGCAGAGAGCAGCGAGGCGGAAGACAAGCACAGCCAACGGGGACACAGGGAGTTCGCTTGATCATCAGCCCACTTGCAAGACATTTTTGCAGGCAGAAGAGACCCCCACGAGGTCACCATCCCGACAGAACGCAGGTGTTGGCGCGGGGGCAAGCAGAGCGAAGGGCGCACGGACCAAGAGGACGACAGAATGGGCAGGAGAGGATCCAGCGTCGGGGCGGGCGAGCTGATATATCGCAAGCTGTCAGACAACGAAGATAATAAAACGAAAGCACGGAAGTAAATTGAGCACTTCGTGGCGGGGAGCAGGTCACATTGGCCCCGCAATCCAACACACTCTCCTTTCGGCGCTTCGTCAGGCGCCCACAGGCCGGATGGCCTCCGCGTCTTCTCCCGTTCCCCTTTCCTCCCTTCCTCCACCATCTCTGGCCCCTCGCCCTCCCCGCAGCTCGTCTACTCCCCGCCCCCTCTCGCAGCGCGGCGAGCATACATGCCCTAGGCGACGCCCCGCGACCACGACGGCGCCGAAACGCGAGCATCCACCGGCGCATACAATCTGCGGGAGCGCCAGATTTCACTAAGTAGCCTCACCGATCCTCGCGTATCTATATCTGCCAATCCGGCGTCCTTCAAGCTCGTCCTGCACCCAGACTGCTCTTCCTCCTCTCCCCCGTCTCCCGATGCCTGCAGTCTCGCGCACCCACCGCGCGGAAGCAAAGTACAATGTCACCCTAGACTGTACGTCTTCTCTCTACCCCCCCCGTCTTTTCGTTTTCTCAACCTCTTTTCCAGTCCCCAACCTCGGCCTTCACTCTGCGGCAGCTGCTGGGAACCTGGGTCTCGTCACCTATGCTCTTGACCACAACCAACCCGTCAACTCGGTCCTCGACGGCGTCCTACCGCTTCACGTCGCAAGCTCCGGAGGGAACGATCAGATCGTACGGTTGCTCATCGAGCGTGGCGCAGATGTCAATGCACCCAGG